AGATACTTTCTATAAAACGACCTGTCTTGACCATTTGTCCTGTGTCTTTATTTCTAATGACTTGTAAACCAATGTGACTTCTTCGAGGTTAGTATGATTAAGTTTATTATTAGTTAGTGAACAACAATTCGATATTTTATATCGTCATTGTTTCGCCGATGGAAATATAAAATTTCATCTTTATTTAGTTTATAACCTTCAACCCCTTTTAAAATCTTTATTGTATATAATGCCATTTAATATAAGTAATTATTATATTTACACCTAATAAAAAGTGCTAAAATCAGTAATCTTAATCAGTTTAATAGTTAGATACGATTATACAATTATAAATAATTGTTTGGGTAAAAAGTGTAATTAAACCAGCTATAAAACATTTTGCTGTGCTTGCATAAATAATTTAAGTAATAGCTATTAATTTATATATATTGTGGTTTTGCTCGTTATATGCATTTGTGTTATTTTGAACTATTACTCACTTATAATGAGTTTTTGAAATTTTGAAATCAATTAACCCCAGCACTTATGTATAAAACCAGCTATATTTGTATGATGTATGCAGATAATAGTTTAAAGGGTTTGAATTCTAAATACATTATAGTCAGTTTTTCACCGTGTTATAGATCATAATCTTTGTTTAATGATGTCTTGATATCGTTTTATTTTTAATACTGAATATAGGTGTCTGCATTTGGTATTGAATTCGATACATAGCGCGATAAGGTAGCATATTGTTGTTGCCTGCATAAGATCAAAGACATTAGAACAATATCAGATGGCCACCATTATGTCACGGCTGCCGTACAACATTATTGTTGTTGCGGAGCATCTTAACTTCGTCATAATTAAACGCAACTGGAGGTTATACTATCCTGCATATTGCAACGTATTTAGTAATGAACGCATTATGTGTTGTAATTGGCACAAAATTAAAACTAATACAAACGATACAATATTAACTTGATTTAAGTACACCTATGTTTGTGTTAATTTAAATTTATAACTAGGTGATTAAATCAAATTTATCAATGTTTAATATTTTTACATTTATTTGTTTCTTGATATAAATCTTAGCTACTAATCACACTTAAGTACTTCGGCGTGAACTTGGACATAGTGTTTTATTTAAAATATATTATTAAAGATATTAAAATTGAAAATCGTTATAGATGATTTAAATTATTGTATGCATTTATATATTATCTTATATTCCTCTGTTAGCATAAAATATGTGAAATTAATTTAAATGATTTTTAAGTTTGTTACTTAGCATTAATTTGAACTGTTCATTTCCATCAGTTGATCAAAATGACTGGCATAAGTCAGAGGGCCAATAATTCATCACTTCTTAAAATAATTTTAGAAAATAATACGAAAAACGATGAACAAAACCTAAGTATGAAAACTTTGTCTCTTATTTTAAATTTTGTTAGTATTTTAAATTTCAGTACTCCACTCTTAAATATATGAAATTTAAGCTGATATTTCTCTTCTGTCTAGATAGTGTAATTGAAAAGTAAATAAAAATGAACTCCTGCGGAAGGTCATGGATAAATTTCAAAACTTCATACTCTAATTCGATTGTATTGAAAAAGTTCATGACATATATGGTATGGAGCGGCATCATAGTAACACAATTTTGATATATTATACTCTTTATATTTTGATAAATTTTCTATAATAATAAGTGACATGTATAGAACAGATCTTAGCTCAACTTTCATTTTGTTTTTCTTTTTGAAACAATATTTACGTAAGTTGTTATTATTTTTGTTTTAATTTTTACTTTTGTTTTAAATTATTAGTAATAATTGATATTGTCATTTAATACATTCAGTATGGTAATAAGTGGTATATTGGCATTAATAACACAACTAATAAATGATACCTACAAATTATTGTTAACTGTATTATGTATTGAAATTCGGGTGTAAAAATTGTTATTTTATTGAAACTTGGATAATTATTAATATATTATTTTCAATGTTACAGATATTAATGAACATGAATGTTCTGTACTCTTATGTGATTGAAAAATCAGGAAATCACGATGTCTTGTCTAATGGACTGGCTGAAGCAATAGTTACATTAAGTGGTTAGTATTTTTCAATGTCTTAAATAATTCATAATCAAATCATAATAATTATTTATTCGAAAGTAAATAATAATTAACATTATTAAAATATTTTTCTTATACTACTTTATTAATCGAAGTTCTTTCAATAAGGTTTTCTGAATTTTGACCAGAATGATGAGTTTAAATTAATATTTACAGGAGCTATGGGAGCTTACCTAATTGGAAAATTTCAATGTGATTGGAATCGTTATGGTGATATATTTACTGCATCTTGCTCTATTGTTATGGGAACGCTAATAACGTCATTTTATTTTTATGATAAACTCGTATTTATCTATTTGACATACGCATTATTTAGTCTAGTATTTCAAATGCATTTTGTCATAATCTAGTAAGTAAAATATCTATCAAATAATCTCATAGACCGATAGGACAAAGACTGTATTCTTTAGCAAATTATGTTTATGTAAATATTTATTTTTCTAAAAAAAAATTTGGAGAATTAAATAAGTAACTATTTTATGTTAAGCTTGTCGTGTAGCACTTTTTTTGGATTAGAAATATTAAACTGTTGATATAAATTTAAAAAGATTAATTTTTTCAATAGCTTGGTAATAAGTTATATTCACCACTTTCAATAATTGAAGACTTGAAATAATTTTTAATTATTTTCCCATATGAAGGTAATAGAAATTTTTTTTTATTTATTTTAAATTTTATCAAACGCTTATGCCTATAAAATCAATAATTTCAGTGTATCAATCTAATTTATTGATTTAAAAATCTTCTCAAACAACATTCTATGTTTAATAAATTTATTAATAGTAACTATAAGTGAAATAGTTATTTTAAACTAGATATAATGAGTGTTTATAATTAATATTAATTGAATTTTTTCTTGTTTTTATAGCGCCGAAATTGCAAAACAGCTAAAAAACCAATGTTATTCTCTAGTAATAGTTTTCAATTATTTGGGATCTGTATTGATAACTGTGATTTTGACATTGATTTTGATACAATATAACTTCATGTACATTACAATTCCCGGAAGGGTAAGTTACAAATTTTGTACTCATATTTTAAAATAATTATTGACTATTTTCTTAAAATATTTATTGTTTCAGTTTGTGTTCATTGGTGGTTTATTCTCAATGTTGGGTATCATATTCTTGTTTATTTCTTTATTTAAGATTAGAAAAAATAAAACATTATACTGACTATAGTAAGAATTTTATTTTATTATTGAGATTGCAATTTAGAATTATTCAAGTTATTTAAATAATTCGGTTAAGACTGTATTACAAGATAAGTATACTATAACTTAAAACCTAGACAAGTATTTTCATGGCTTTCAATAATATATGCCGGATTTTGCTAGTATAGAAATTAGTAGAATGTAATAATAAATTATCTAACATATCTAATTTTGTTTGTAGATTTATAATTTTGTGAATAGTCGCTAACTGTGATTTCATATAGATATTAAATTATTCAAATAAAAATGTTAAGTTTAATTTCTTGATAAAATTTAGAATTGATCACCTTAATCATAAAATATTTTCTAATTGAAAATTTGTCAGCATTATCATTTATATAGTGATAACCTTAAAATATGTTTTAATAAATAAATAAATCAAAATAATATACATGTACACTTTTTTTTGCAATAACCATATTTATTTTTCAATCATTACTTATAAAGGTTATTAGTTTTTTAAAAATATTTACATTTTGACATATCACAACATTTTATCTTAAAGTATTTTTGAGATATAAAATTATGTTTTGGAGGTATAAAAATTTGCTAACTCCTTCATACAGATTGTCTTGAATGGTAAATTCAGTTTTTGGTTTCGTTTAAATCTATCACTTAAATTTATCTTGAAAAAATGTGAGTATACAATTAATTTTGATTTCATTTGCATTTTATATAAATTGTGAAAAAAAAATAGAAAAACCCAAGTTATTTTGTTAGTATTATTAGGTACGTATTTAGTGATAATTTTATTAAATGTGACAATAAGAAGCTGTCAGTACCAAAAACTTTTAGTTTTAAATTAAGTAATATCATCCGTGTCAATTCTACTTCGACAAAACCGACCTACACAGAAATAATATTGTGTATGTTGAACGCAGACAACGACATTAACTAAGATTTGATAGATGTGTATAGTCTGTCTAGTGAATCTTCTTCAGGTGAACTATACGAAACATTGGTAGAATACGATGATTCAGTTGTTAGTAGATCACAATCTAGTTCTTCTTTAATTAAAAAATTTTTAGGTAAGGCAAGGGTAAGATTAAATCACGCAGACGCAACATCAGGAGAAATAGGCGTCTATTGAGGTCTAGAGTACGTAATACGAAATTAGGAAAATAATAAAACAGTCATGGCAAAATTATTGGAGCAGGAAGAATTTGTGTCAGTCAAAAAAGCAATTAAACTAATACAAATTTTTGATGGTATCACCGTGTTGAGGAGAATATAGAATTTCAGAACGTACTATGTACTTTTGCGAAACGAATTATCAATTTAGCGAAAATGGACGAATTTATTTATGGTGAACCAACACGACTAACAGGAAAAGTGTACTAAACTACCTGTAAACTATACTGTCTTTTGTGCCGCGACCGTGAAAATCTGATGACTGTTAGCATTGATTCTAATGCTGTATCAGCATTTTAGGGATCTCACAGTGGCGTAAGCGTTCAGAGTTATATCATATAATACTATAATATACGGCTCATAACACAGTATAATATTACACTTCTCTCATCGTATTACGTGTAACCTTGTGGGTCAATTTCAAAATTTTTTTTTATTAAACAAATTAAATAATGCTGTTGATCTAGTTGTTTATTATCATATTATTTATTATATAATTACCGCCTAATCAACAGTAGAGTATTTTAAAGATTTTGAATTATTTTGTATACTGTAGTAATGGGTTCACCACGTGGTTCATGTGAAATACAGGGAGAGTGTTACAGTACTTTAATGCATATAAATGTGTATATATATATTGTATAGTCTCTGGCATTTTGGTATAAAATGAAGATGTAAATATTATTATGGACAATTTGGTGAGTAATGTGGCATTGAATAAAAACTTTTATATTTTTACACTTTTATTAAAAATTGAATACGTATAACTTATCAATTGTAGTTAAGTATCCACATGAGTATAATAATTTGTCTCACTGCTAATATATTGTCCGACTATTTAAGCAATTGTTTATGATTAATATAAGATTAATAGTTCGTTATTTTTAATATGTAGATAAAGACCTACTAAATGTGCTTTTGATATGTTATGCATATCATTATAAGATAAGTTATATAAATATATACACGTGTTACGTATTTCTTATCAAATATCATATTATTAATCATTGAGTAATAAAATATATAATCAATGTAGCTCGATATCTAGTTTTTTATATGTTATACTAATTTCATTCTTGAAACCGATAAACCTAAAGTTTGTTGTGTTATGATCATCAATGTCATAAGTGTACATGCTTCAAAACGTTAAACAAATTAATAATACATATATATTTATAATATACAAAAAGTAAAAATATTTATTTTAAATATTGAAATAAAACAAAATAAAGTAAGTCGTTAATTATACTTAACTAGTATTTTCAGTCATGGAAAAATGGAAAAAAACTACATACATGGTGGCAATTTATTTATTTTTAATTGACCTTCGACCATTGGAACCATTTATGACGGCTTATTTAATAGGACCAGATGCAAGCTTGTCTTTGGATGAGGTAATAACGGTTCTAATTAATTTAACATAGAATTTTAGTTTCACTTCTAAACGTTTTTTGGCTGTATTTATTTTATATAAAACGAAATACTTATTTGTCTTTCTGATGGCTGTGATATAGTATACGCTATACATAATAAAGGTAGTTGGTAATTTTTTAATATGATTTTAGGATGGGTTTTTTTGTCAATGTTATTCAATACGATGTTTGATTTAGGTGTAATATGAAAATATTTAATGAAAAGCGAAGTTTTCAATACTTTAAACACTATTATTTTAATTTAATGAAAAAGTGGTTTACCTTAAAATTGCTTCTTTTTGAAGGCTAAAAATTAATATTATTATAAGACATGTATGTAACTAAAATTTTTGAGTTAAAACTGTTATGAAAATCATGTTAGTTGATAAAAAATAATATATAACTAGCTATTATTTGGCTATAAACTCATGGTGACTTATTGTTCAATTTATATAATTAACTTAACATATAGTTATAAAAAATACAATTAAGCTATGTAAACACTGAACGAAGAAAACTGCTAGTAACCGATTAGAATATTTTGTTTCAAACCGTTCTGGACAAATTATATTTATATAGACAAAACAAATAATTTTGGATTATATACCAGTCGTCAAAATTCTGTTGAAGACAATTTTGTTATACTGCTTTTGAGCAATTATTTTCAAATAGTGAAATAAATAATTATAAACGTAAAATTTGGCTGCTCAAAATAAATAAAAACTTACAGAAAATAATCAAATTTTGTCTTTATAATATATGAAATCAGTGAGTTAATAATATTACATAACACAGATTTTTGTAAAAGTATAGCTATTGCTGAAAGATTGTTTGTAATACTGAAAGGAGTAAAAATAATAATACTATAAAATAATATACTAGAAATATTTAATAATGAGAATTTTAATCTGAGGTACACTTATGAAAACCAATTTATTTAATAAGTATTATTATTTATTTGATAAGTACCTAATTAAAATATTAATAGTCATTATGTTGAGCTATTTGTTGATGAATATCCGAGTTAATTATATGTTTAGTAAAGGTTTTAAGTTCCTGTACTGGTATTTTTATGTAGTATAAAAATATAATATTTTATCATAACCTTATGATTTTTAAGCTTCTTGACTGTTGAATTAGGTATTTAAAGTTGTTAACACAAACTGTTTAAGCTAGCATTGTTTTTTTTTTTAAATTTTTACTATTTTATTAATTATACTTGTTAATGGTTATATTACTCAAATTTGAGTTATAGTTAATTTTTTTCTATTGTTTTCAATTAAAATATATAATTTAAAACAAACGATTTAATGGTTTTTCACTTGTTTAATCTAGATATTAATTTTTGATATAAACTTAATGTAATGTTTTATTTTTTTGTTTTGTGTTTTTAATGGATTAATAATCGCACATAAACGTATTGTAATTTCAGATCTGTCCTAAGTTGAATCTAATCTAATATATTTTTCAACTATAAAAACCCACTAGTACATTGATCATTTAACTCAGTTTCTAATATATCATGATCTATTTATAGGTAGCTACAGCTATCGAGTATTTTAAAATATATGGATCGCTATTCACATCACTGTTAATGATTACAACTGCAGACTACTTTCTATACAAGCCAAACATTATATTCTTGACCATTTGTCCATGTGTCTTCTATTTCCTAATGACTTGTAAACCAAGTGTAACACAGCTGAGGGTTAGTATGATTAAGTTTATTATTGATTGAAGTGGTATAGCAATTCGATATTTTATGTCGTCATTGTTTCGCCGATGGAAATATAAAATTTCATCTTTTATTTAGTTTTATAGCCTTCAACCCCTTTTAAAATCTTTATTTGTATATAATGCCATTCAAATATGAAACAATTATTATATTTCACACCTAATAAAAAAGTGCTGGAAATCAGTAAATCGTAAAAAAATCAGTTTAATAGTTAGATACGATTATACAATTACTCAAATGAATTGTTTGGGTAAAAAGTGTAATTAAACCATTTATAAAAGACATTTTTAACAATGCTTGCGCATAAATAATTTTAAATTATTAATTACAACCAATTTATTATATTGTGGTTTTGCTCGTTATATGCATTTGTGTTATTTTTGAACTATTACTCATATCTAATCGAGTTTTTTTTTGAGAATTTTTTGAAACCAATTCAACTTTAGCACTTATGTATAAAATAAATATTTTATATTTGTATGATGTATACAGATAATGGTTTTAAAGGAGTTTGAATTCTAAAAATACATTATAGATGATTTTCACCCGTGTTATAGATCATAATCAATATTTTGTTTTAATGATGTCCTTTGATATCGTTTTATTTTTTAATACTGAATATAGGTGTCTGCATTTGGTATTGGGTCGATACATAGCACTGATAAGATAGCATATTGTTATTTATACGCCAAGATCAAAGACGTAGAACAATATCAGATGGCCACCGGTATTGTCACGGCTGCCGTACAACTTGGTATTGTTGTTGGAGACATCTTAGCACAAATCATAGTCAACGCAACTGGAGGGATTTATACTATCCTACCATATTGCAACGTATTCAGTAATCAGACGCATTATGTATTTGTAATTTAGCACAAAATTAAAACTAAATACAAACGATACAATATTAACTTAACGATTTAGAAGTACACCTATGTTTTGTGTTAATTTAAATTTATAACTGGAGTAAATTTAAAATCAAATTTATCAATGTTTAATATTTTTTACAATTTATTTATTTGTTTCTTGAGATATAAATCACTTGGCTACTAATCACACTTAAGTACTTCATGACGTGAACTTGAGACTGTAGTGTTTTT